ATATATACTTTTTATCTCAAATTTCAATCGAATAATTCAAAGTACAAGTAATAAATACAATGCTAGTTGGTAGAAACATTCATGAGCTGGAGTTGAAGTTTAGCAACAATGTTAAAAAGCAAATGATCTAAAAGTAACCGAATTTTAAATACACCCGTTTTCATAATACGATAAAATTACGATACGTTATAAAGTACACATTACGATAAAAATTTTTCCAACATTATATCTTATTAAGTTTTATTAATGAATATGTTATACCTGCAAACTCCCATTTTCTGAAATTCTGAAGATTTATTACGAAGTTGCAGAATAAATTACATACTGCAGTAGTCGGAAAAAAAAATCATGACAAACATTATTTTACAACTTAGATATTTTATTTTGAAACAAAACACAATATAAAAATTAACTTCACTATGCTTAATTCATTGTTATTAATAATTAATTCATTGTTTAATGTAAACATATCGATCATCTTTTGGCGTTATACAAGTTAAAAGCACATATTTGTAATTAAATAAAATAATTTTTATCTTTTATTCCGAAAAGCAATAGTTTTACTATGGGATAAAACGTTAATTATTGTTTTTAAATAAAAAAAAATTCCAAAACTTTACAGTCATTTCATGCTGTTTTGAGTTTCTTTCCTTCAATTACAATTTCTTGTTTGCGTGCAACTATATTTTAGAGTAATAAACCGATGTATATTTTAACGCTTTTGTCCCGCAGTGGACTGATTGTTCCCAGCAGATCACCGAAGTCAAGCATCACTGGTTGCGGTCAGTGTGAGGGTGGGTGATTACTTGGATTAGTCTGCTTAGGGGCCGAGGGTGTGCGGTATTGGTCCTCGTTAAACTGTTCTACCGTAAAGTGCTCGACTTCGTGTGCAGGTCTTCGGGCTACCGAAGCGGGAGTGCCATCCCCTCTGCAAAGGATCAAAATTGTGATGGCATGTCTTCGGATCATCCTCAGGGATGTTTCCCAGACCGTCGCCAATAGCCCATTGTGCAGCTCTAGTGCGACGTAAATGAACTACAGCAACTATAACTTTAAATGCTTTTTTGAAAGATTTTATTAAATGGCCTGCTGTGTGTGTTCGTGTGATACGCACATTTAAATGTGTGTACCACACGACGACACACAGCAGGGATGAATCACACAGGTATACGCGTCCCTCTCCAAACTTTCCCAACGTCTCACAACAACCAACAAGAGGACTTTACAGTCATAAATGTAAAATAACTATTTACCAAATGAATTAATTATAGGTTTAATGTATGTTTAAAGGAAAGTGTGACATAAATGTTCTGGAGATGACAAAGCAGGAATCGAATCTCCATAATTCTAAGTCAATAGTTTCGTTTTAACTTTAAAATAAGACTTTTTTTTATTTAATATTTTTAGAAAAGGCCCATTATTGAAAATTTAAAAGAATTATTCAGACAGATATGTAGTTATTAATATTTCAAATGAGGATAATAAGTAGTGCGGGTCTTTGATTGCTTTGTTTAGAATAGGAAAATGCTACGAAAGTCTACAAATGGAGCCTAGGAAAGTTTTAGTGGCGCCATTTATTGATTATTAATAAAAGTATATTAAAGGACTTAGGATTAAATTGCATCAAAGTTAGCTCCAAATTAAAATTTTTTACAAAATTATTTAATAGATTTTCTTCCGAGCATAATACGGAATGAATTCTCATTATCGCTATCATTATGATACGATGAAATTAAAGAATTAATTTCTCTTATAATTAATTGAATAGTAAGTTTCAATTTAAATGTGTTAATTTATTCGTTAGATTCCTGCTTAATGAATGAAAATTTTCATTAAATTTTAAATGCTGGCTACACGCAATTTTATTGAATTAACTTTTTACTAAATAAATTTTTTCTTTCTTTCTGGAATATAGGGGGATGCACGTGATTTGATCAATAAATCATATTCTAAAAAGTTCGAAATAAATTTAATTGTAAAAATTAATATTGCAAAAATGATTTAAAATGAATTAAGATAAACACGAAAATAATTTATAAAATAAACTTATACTTTAAATTTAAGGCTTAGAATTTAGAAATTACGATCTGTGGACGAATGAATGGGTCCGCCCTATAAACGGGTATGACGTATGGCTTTGGCAGAAATCGAATTCTTGGCCAATGATAGCACCACTGGAAAACAAGAACAATCGCACACCCTCTGCCTCAATGGCCGAAGACAATAACAACAATCCCTTACGAAGAATAAATATTCACTTAATGCACAAGAATCAAATACGTATATCAAGAATTAATCTTTCATGAACAATATTTAACACATGACTTGTAAAATAAATGATGTAACAAAGTTATCTAGCTATATATATATATATATATATACCTGCACTGATTAATTAGCTTATTTGAGGTTACCCCTCGTGCCATTAAGATAGAGTCTCGTGAGGATCTGATCATAAGATCAAAAATTAATCAGGTTAATTCGTTTCTTTTCCCTCTCTTCTTATTTTTTATTTTTACACACTAAACATTTAGCTTGTTTTGGAGCAGGTATTTCCTTGAAGGCATTTTCTAAATAGATTTTATTTAAAAGAAACAATAAAATAAAAACATTTTAGTTAAAGTTGAATAATTTTTAATGCATTAAAAATAAAAAGTGAATAAACATATAATATTTTTTAATTATGGTTTTGGGTCTTCAAAACATTCGAAAAATCATTGATCAAAAACCAGGTAAAATTACTAATTTAGATTGCTCTGAAAATGTAAAATAAATTCTTGAAATGGTTTCAAAACATTTCTCATATTTAATATCCAAAACTAATTAAAATTACTACTGTTGAATGCAATAAAAGTGCAAGATGGATGCTCTAAAACTCTTCAAAAACATTAAAAATCGTCCAATCGCACGATCATAAGTATTAAAAAGCAAATAAATGGTAGTATAACACTTATTAATTACGCAACAAAAAACTTTGCAAATTTATAGATGTCATTAAAAAAAAAGACATTTAAGAATGATTACTAGTTAAACTTGTATTGCTTTCTCGTTGTTCAGGTGTTTGTCTTCAGATATAAATTTTATATATAGGATTCTTTAAAAGGAAAGAAAGTTTTNTATATATATATATATATACAACAACTATATCAGTTTTCCCGAATTTGATGCGTCAGCACAATCATACTCACAAGTCACGATTTCAGAACAACACACGTGATGTTACCCAATCAAAGAAAATTAGTCTTCGAAAAATAGTAGTTGGCAAACTATAAGATTAAATTTCTTCCTTTCTTTTGATGAAAGGAAAACTCACCAGACGGAAAATGGCATATAAAAAAGTTTCTTAGGTAATCGAGCACTCACTATTTTATATAGAGAATCGT